CATTGGTAAATTTGACTGTTCCATTCGAATAGATTCTGCATTGCTGAAACCGCTCGGGGGCAACCTGATCGATTGCGATTCTGAAATAAGATTCTTGGAGATTTCAATCTTTTTTAAATCACAAGTTTAGCAATCCGTTGAATTAGTCGCATTGGATTTTCGAGTCCGATAATATAATAATATTAGGCTAAGTCTGGAAACGCACGCGTTTATCACGAAATCATCCGGAATCCAAAGAGAATCACATTGAACAACGATTGCTGAACGTCCATCGAACTCTTCGGGAACCCATACAAGACGAACATTCTGCCAAACGAGATCCATTACCATGTATGCTCTCAACACTTGACTGCTTGCATCCTAGATTTTAAGAGTTTAAGTCTAAATCTCTTGCTCTCGGTTTTGAAAGCGAAGACTTTTGGGCTCTTTTTTCAAGACTATTGAAGAACCAAAACTTAGAATCCTTATATGCTAACTTACCAGGTCGATAATGTAGAGCAACTGTAGTGTGACAGCCATCATTAACCGTTGTTCCACTGAAATTTTGTATAAACAAATCAAAATTTGTTTAACCTATCGAATTTTCTGTCAAATCTTCGTTTATTGGAGCTAAATCCTTGAAATAATTTCGATTCTGAAACAATTCAATGTATAACCGATTAGCTGCATTCAGAGTTGTTGAGTAACTGGCTAAAAAGTGCTTAGTTCTATATTGGTTTGTGGAATGGCGCAATAACCATCAATGCCAAATCTCGTGTAATCGATTGAAGTCCGATTGAATTGAGTGCGTGAAAGTCGGAGATGAATCAGAAGCAGAAATAATAGAAATAATCTATGAATTCTCATTGTGTGTCAAATGAAACATTTTAAATTGAATTTCATTTGGAAAAAGAGACAAGTAGGTAAACAAATAACAAGGGAAGAATCAAAAAGAAATGAAATTTGAGATTCTTTTTTGGTATTGTTATTGCTATCATTTTATCGTTTAACTGAGGAATTCTTTTGGAGATACATCAAAATTGAAAAAATTAATTGACTTCAGTCGATTGCAAAACTCAAATGAGACACAATGAAAGCAGCAAAAGAAATTCAAAAGGGAACAGAAGAGGAATCGAAAAGAAAGTCTCCAATGAACATGTGAAAACCATTGATTGGTTAATCTGTCAATGGCAAACGCTCATTTGGTTCTCTGCATTGATTTTTTTCCAGACTCTTGTGCAATAAAAAAAGTTATTTTTCCCTTCAAGTATCATTAATTTTTTATTGCCCAATGAAAAACGAGTTGGTGCTAAAACATAAGTGTTTAATCAAAACAACTTTCTGATAGAAAGTTAATATGGGCTTTGTTTTGAGTATTTCCCCTTTGAGAGGCTTCTATTATAGGTAATGTGGTCACTAGAATTCACGTACAGGCACGTTACGCTCACACAATCACAAACATGCTCGTCATGACACCAACGCTCGCCGATCGTACAACACGCCTGAAAATTCATCTCAATCGGCACGATTTTCAGCCTATACCAAGAATAGCCCATTTTCGTTCACTTAGTGAAAGTTATGTCAATTGAAACAAGACTGCTAGATATCAAAAACCTTTCAACACACGTTCCACCATTTTTCTATCTCTTGAAGGCTGGTTGGCACATTCACAACGAGATTGACTCTATTTCACTGCGTCGTTGCGTTATTTAACTTGATTTTTCTGCTGTTTCGGGGTATCCACGCAGTAAAGTATGAGTTCGATTGAAAAATTGGAACAAGATTCAGGACTTTTTAGTGTTTAGCTAGAGTTTTGTGCTTATTTTGCTTTCTTTTGACTCCTCCACATTTAAAACTCTGTATAAGTATCAACTCACAACAAGATTGGGAAACTCAAGAAGAGTTAAAAATGAAAGGAGGGTTAAAGTGATTTCCAGGACAGACATAGCATAATAAGATGGATCGAAACTTTAATCCAATCACTGAGCAGTTTCCCAATCTTGTTCTTACTTGATAAAAAGCTTTTGAAGGTGAAGAAGCTAAGAAAAAGGTGAGGGATTAGAGTGACTTCCAGAACAGCCATACATGAAGTAAATTAGCTTAAAACTTTAATCTAGCACTGAGCAACCTCCCAATCTTGTTCAAGAGCTGATACCTGATCCGAAGGTTTTAAAGGCAAAAGAGTTGAGAAGAATGAGGGGTGCTAGAGTGAGTTCCAGGACAGAAATAGCACAATAAGATGGATCGAAACTTCAAGCTGAACACTGAGTAGCTTTCCAATCTTGTTCTTGGGCTTGATACTGTTACAAAGATTTTGAAAAAAGAAGAATTAAAAATGAGAGGGGACAAACGTGAGTTCCAGGACAGCCATAGGATAATGAAATGGATCGAAACTTCAAACCAAAAACTGAGCAGTTTCCCAATCTTGTTCTTGAGCTGGTACTTGATAAAAAGCTTTTGCAGGTGAGGGGATTAGAAAAAATGAGTGGGGCTAAAGTGAGTTCCAGAACAACCATAGCATGGGGAAAATAAGCATCAAAGTTTAGCTAAACACTAAAAAATCCCCAATCTTTTTCTCAAGCTTGTTACTGGTACGAAGCTTTTAAAGGTGAAGGGGTTAAAAAATGAGAAGGGGCTAGAGTGAGTTCCAGAACAACCATTCACGTTGTAAGTAAGACCAAGACTTTAATCTAAAACTAAACAGCTTCCCAATCTTGTTCCGAGTTAATACTTAACCTACGAAATAGTCCCCAAACTTTCCCAATGCAAAACTTTCTCGGCTTCCGATCGCATTCAGGGAATCCTGATCGATTCAAGTGGATTTCTCTCCTTCAGTTATTCTAGTGCTTGTTTTGGTTACTGGGTCTCGTTTTTGCCATCCAGGTTTAGATTTTAAAGATTTTGAATGAAAATTTAAATGCGATTTTCCAGCTCTACAGTATTTCTTTTGTGACGTCTTTATTGCTTTTAACGATTCACTGTCTTTATCGCTATGTGAAAATCTCTGGAAATCTAAATTTTAACAATTTGACCCGAAAATGCGGCCCTCCATCATAACCCATTGTACCGTAGAATTTCTTTGCCTTCTCCACATCACGTTGATCCAAATCACGTTATTTGTAGCTGAGAGAGGATCGCTTCTGAACAAACGACTTGCTTGCTTTTTGTTTCAATTTGCTTTCCAGTCCTAGTTAAAGTTTCAATTTGAGTCAAAAGCAGTTCAACTAGCATACCTGAACAAAAATCAGGTACATCGCCGATCGGCTCTGCGGTGAATGGTCAAATCCGAGCTCGTAACCGATCGCATGCAAAGTCGCAAAACGGAGATAGAATGTGTTTGCTGAAGCTCTTGCTCTTGTTTTCTTCATTTTAATTCTTTTCCACTCACCTATTCTTTTCTGGTGTCTCATTGATCCATTTTGTGTCACTGTTAAAAACGATGGTTTTCCCATTGCCCGTGTAGACCGTTTGAACAATTTTTGGGCCTAGAGATTGAACCAGCCGTTTCAATTTTTATAGTAAAGTTCAATTACGTATCCAATCGTCACTTTGAGCGATCGTCGAGAAGTGGAACTGCATTTTATTGTTGGCAAAAAGTTTATTTGTATGATAGAGACAACCTCTTGTCTTTTTAAATAAACTAAAGATTAACATTAGATATTTTAGTAGGGAATTGTGTTTTTGAGAAAAGGTGCACTTATTTTTGTTACTAAATTTGAAATTATAGAGTCAAATGCAGAACGGTGACAACAAGAATAACAATAAGTATTGGAAAATGTATTATAAACATATAAAGTATTGGAAAAGGAAGGAAACGTGAAATAAACAACTGAACAAAGACAGCTTTCTGCAAACTTTATTGTTTTTTGTTCTGAATTTTCTCAAAAGTGACATCTTTTTACAGACATTTAAGAAAATCAACGTGAAAATAGCAAAAATACACTTGAAATCAGCTCCTCGCACTCACCGAACTTGATAGAAACTCTCTTTGATGGGTTTTTCGGGGTGGCAAGTTGAAGGCGACGATGATCAGACTGAAGATTCAATTTCTTGTTGCTTTTTCATAGTTTCAACCTCATCGCACAATGACCGATCATGGGCAAACCCTTCAAAAAGAAGAAACGACTATAGCCGATGAAAGGCCAATGCCATGCAAACGTGTGAATCGTCCCATCCCACAGCCAGATCACACCGGTCAACAGCATCTTTAGCAATTTTGAACTGTTTATCTCGGATTATCTTACCATCATTGACAATTTCAACTCGGCTCGACGTCTCAGCTCTGATGTGCTGAACTGAAAAGCTTTTGCTACAGCTGCTCTTTGATAGTAAACATAAAAGATAAGAGGCAGCAGCTCAGAGGAAGAGGCAGCTCAGACTCAAGTTAGTAGCTTTTTGTTTGAGTTTTTTTATGGGTGAATGAATAAGTTCTTTTTTCTTAATTCCCTTCAAACCTTGCTTCGAATCGCCATAATTGTGATAATGTCGACGGACAGAGCCACCACGATAAAGCCGAACATGACAAAGTCGAAAGTTGAGCTATTGAAGTCGAAGATCGAGCTGGTTATGTACCAGGCACGGAGACGGAACTCGCTCGGTGACATGAATGGACCCGCGTAGCAGATTGACCCATTTGGGGATTGCACTGAAAAGTGAGTGAATCTTTTCCATCCAAATAATCATTCAAAAAAATCACTCACAGTCACCGATTCCCAGGAAATAGTTAACATTTGGTACAATAAAACAGAAAATCGTGTAGAAAATCAAGAGAATTTCGGTTTTTCTGTTAAAAATCTCGTCGAAAAAGATGGCGAGAAGGCTGAAATTTGAAGATATCGCTAAAGGAAATCAAAGAGAGACCGTGAAATGGATAAACAATGAAGAAAGAGTTGCATCGAGTAGAGGAGACCGATTTGGAATGAAGAGAGGAGACGATTCAGCCAGATACCCGGCAAGAAGAGGCCCGTCATTTCAACACATTGCCATCTGAGATGTTCTCTCTTGAAATTTCTTCTAATTTACCCCCAAACACAGGCACCATAATATAAGTAGAGAAATGACTCGAGAAAACGACACAAATCGTCGAGAAGAATGATGAATTTGACACTCTTTGCGAGGGCTATCTTTTGATAGACAACGTGAGCACACAGAGAGCTCAGGGTGACACCGAAGAGGCCGAGCTAAAAGAACAAAAGGGTTGAGAGGTCAACTGACAAGAATTATTTTTGTGTTTTGTAGATTTTTATGTCACTTGCGGATTGCATGCCGCGTTTTTAAACGTTACCATTTACAACATTAGCATGCATCAAACGGAATAGACGCGCCGTATTCAACCAACTAAATTAGCATAAGAAACAGCTGAATTTTAGTCAACTAGCAATTTGAGCAATTTTCGGGATCATCTACCTGGTCGAAATGGTTAAATTCAGACCCAATTCATTTAAATTAAAACTAGAATATGCATTCATACTTCCCCAGATCCGATTCCCCTCGACCTCCCCTTTAAATCTTCTCCTCAATTCACCCAAGTCACTGGTGATCCTAAGCAATAGATTAGGGTGATCGTCCGATCTGCTAAGAAAAGCGACATTGGCCTTGGCTAGTCGCTGTTTCAATCACCCGGGCAGCCTTTTTTCTTTCGAGTCAGTTTTGCTTGGAAGCTTTTGTTTTTGGCAAAAACATGACTTATTTTTGGAGAGAAACATTCAAACAGCAGAGCGTATTGACTCTTGATCTGAGACGATGATCTGTTTGAAGTGATAACGAATGAAATCGGGAAAATGGTTTCTCAGCTTACCAATAGGATCTACACGACGGGGAAAATCTTTTTAACGTTTTTACTTTTTGTGCTATTTGTCATGGATTGTGAAAAGCTTTTTTAAAAGGACGGAAAGCGAGGCGTCTGATCCGTATGATGCATCTTAATTTGTAAATGATAATTTTTAAAAACGCGGCCTAAATTTCGTATGATACTACAAAATTTTAACTATTAACTATTAACAAGATGTTAATGGTTTGGTGAGTTTTTGGAAAATTAACTGATAAATATGAAATGATGACGGATCGAGCCAACGAGTCGCTTCTCGTCGAATTCAACTGAATCGGTAGCCCGTTCCATTTATAGGCTGCATCACTTGACTCGTCCACCCACAAAAGGGTCAATGGCTGTAAGACGTAGCATCAGATACAAGAAAGAAAAAAAGTGGATCAGAAACGAGCAAGATTTCTCACTGTTTTCACTATAATCTACTACAGAGGTCAGGCTCATAGCCAGAAAAAAGTTGGAGCGAAAGAATTTCTTTTTCTACCCCTGACAGGAGCTACACCTATGCATTTTGTATTAATAAAATGAAGAAATGAATAGAATTCTATTTGGTGAATAGCTTGTTGAAATACTCACACGATCCTCGCAAATGAGTCCATCAAAACTTGGGTCAACCACATACAAATACTCCTTTCCATAAACGTCGATGTATTTCTGATTCGTTAACATTTTAGGGTATTTCAGTGAATCAATACTTGGATAAAATAATAAATGGAACATTATTTCTTAATCTTTTCTTTTCCCCTCCTGGGACTTCATTAATTCGCAATTAATTCTACAAAATCACAAATGATCGCGATTTTTTGAGAGATTTACTTTCTTTACGTTGAATTTTGATGCAATTTGTGATAAGTGAGCTCTTTTTGGAAATTTTTGTAACTATTTATCGAGAAAACGAAAAAAACAAGGATCGATCTCGCTCGGACTCGCCGTTTTCGACTCCAAAAACAATACATTGAGATGAGGCTGAACATTGGAAACACTTAAATTTTCCATTTACCTATTCACAAAGAAAAACAGAAATATTTGTAGAAACACAAGTATTTGTTGAATAAATGAAAGTATGTTTGACCCGTAGAACAAATGGAAGATATCAATGAGACCGTCAGAAATGATTGTGGTGGTCAGGGTGAAGACACAGTTGGCGATCATCTGAAATCAGCATTTTTCTTCCCAAAAACATTTCCTTCACCTGTATCATCAACAGCGCTTCAGCAAAGACGAAATCTGGGACTCGAGTCTCACAATGATTCCCCGCAACTTTTATGGGCAACGTGTTGAAAAACGGGGAATTCATTTATGAAATCAACGAGAATGTCACCGATTCACCCAAATTTTGAGGCGTCGCTCAAAAAGGATACAGTATGGTATGATACAAAAACTTTTAATTTATCTCTCGTTAATTTCTACAAAAAGTTAAGAACAGTCTTATTGTTCGTAAAGGGAACTGGGAAATGGAATCGTTGCTTTTCAAAGCTTTCTTTTCGTTGCTTCCATGCACCAACAAGCAGCGAGGTGGTCATTAGCAAGCTGTAAATTCCCCTAGATTTTCAAATTTACAAAACAAACATCGAAAGAGCATTTGAGTAGGCCGGAGCAGCTGTCCATCCAATGAATCGGTAGATTGGGTTGATTTGTTGGTTGGTTCGTGGATTGACGTCGATGGGCAGAGTGAGATAATCATCCAGATAATACTCTGGCAGAAGGGATAGAATTGACACAAGACTGGTAATGGATTGCTAAAAAATGAAAAATGAATAAAAAGTACAAAGACTTGCCGCTACAGTGAATGGAAAGAGCAATTTGTTGGCTTTTTGATCAGATTCGTCAGCACTTTCCTGGAATTAAAGAATAAAGAACGATTTTCTTATTTGTTTTTTATTGTACAAGTCAATTAATGCACCATTCTCCGCGTTTTTACAGCTGTCATCAAAGCCAAAACTCCTGTCAACAAAGTGACCAAGACACGAATCCTCCAAGCAAAATACTCCCAAATTGTCTCGTAAAGTTTCTCTTGCGTTGATTCATAATAAACATTCGGATAATAAGAGTAGCCAATGAAGAGCTTCACTTTCATACCAACTGAAGGAGTTGATTGCAGAGAAGAAAAAGAACTCACAAGGCTTATCATATCTATTGATAAGTTTGAAATAAATTGATGGAATCATTGTCACTGATGTGATGAAAAGAAGGAAATATTTGAGAGAGCTTTGGTGGTAGTGGTTGTTAAAGAGAACGGTGAGAGCACTGAATCATTGAAAAACCGATGATTTCTTCATTTTTTATTGTAGATTGTGACTAATTACGTTCACAAAGAGCACAAAGATCCTGTGAACTTCAATTGATACATAAACACTCATTTCAAACAATAGTATTTGTTGGGACAAAGATCAGAAAGAATTGACATGTGTTCAAGTGATCTTCAAGTTTAAAAAGCCTAATTCACCAGTTTGCCACGAATATCCAAAGGAATCCCATTTACTCACCACTCAACAGCCACACCCATCTGAAACATCCACAAACTGCAGCCAAAACCTCGATGCAGACTCGTGATCCATTGATTGATTGACATTGAAATGATCGATTCGTGTCAGAACCAACTGAAAATTCAATTTTTGGTTTAGATCTCTTAAAAACTCACTTTTCATTGCAAACAAGCTGATATCCAAAGACGAAACTCTCAAAGATAAAGACGAACGCCTCGATTAGGATGAGCAACGTAAGGCTTTTTGATAAGTGCTTTCTATTCAATAGAAGTCCCAATAAGTATGAAATCCCTGCAATCAATTCGATGATCACTGCCTGAAATTTGAATATTGAATGCTTATAAAAATCCTTCACTGGAAGAAGTATTTGAAAAATGATTGGAGTATAGAAATCATTGAGACGAGTGGCTTTTGCTTGTTTAGCCACCAAATACGGCTTGAATCGTTCATTTATCGTTGGATCAATTAAACTGTAGAAGAATATAAAAACTTTGTGATAAAGACAGGAAAATGAGCAAAAAGTTGAGTTTAGCTTTAGAAAACGTTTTTGTTTGTTTTTAATAAGTTGGTTCAATCGTTTGCAAAAAGTGTTTATTCTCATCACTCGAACAAGTTACTTATTTCAACTGTGTAGTTTGCAAAGACAGATTAACGAATTTCATGAAGGGGTATCACAGTAGTCACGTATCTATCAAAGTTAGACAAAATGGGAAAGAAAGCAACAATCAATAACGAAATATGAATCACTGGAGCTTACAGCCTACAAACGATCAAATGTTTTGAGTTGAAAAATTGTAAAAAGCTACCAGCTAGTGTTGAGAAAGAAAAAGATTACTAGTGAAAGAGTAAATGTAAAGAAAGAGATGGGATTGGGGCATCTCTCCGCTTGATTTGATGGATTTTGGGTTACCGGTGATCGATCGTCGAATCGATTGTCGAAAGAACGAACCAAATGAATCTTCGCGAAGCATTTCTTGTATTTCTCCCATTTGGACACAATGAGACATTGAAGCTGAAGTATTTCACAATCAATTTTCTCACTCTTTTCCCTTTTACCTGAACCGCTCGCACATTCGAAAGTGTCGTGTTGACGCTAAAAGAAAATTGAATCAAATTCAAAAAATAAGTTCTTATTTTAAAGAAGCTAACTCGCTATTTATCCAAGCTTCGCCGAAATTCTTCAAATATTGAACCGAGATTTGACCGAATCCAATAGAGTTTGTTTCAAACGATATGTTGATGGGGAAATGATCTGAAAAAAAAAACAGAATATGTTCCCTTTTAATCGAAAAGAAAAAACAACATGACGTTTGTTGAGCACTCAGTGGGGTGCATTGTGATTAAGCCATGAGCACTCGTTGCAGCTTTTGTTATCATGTTTCATCTATCTGCTACCATAACAAGAGAAATTTAATACAATAAAAATGATCTTATTATCTTATCTTCAAAACTTAATACAATAAGTTTGATGGTTTTCACACAATCTTGCTACCAGATGCCTTGTAAAGTTTGCTACCAAATCGAACCGGCACAAATCTTCCGACTTCGATCCGAATCTGGGCCGGGACTCGCTTAAGTGCAAATGTCTACAGGTAAAGAACAAAAAGATAAAAAAGAATAAACTTGACCGCAAAAATAGGCAGCTACTATTTGCTTCAATGGGACACTCGCTTGATCTTCGAGAGCCGCGAGAAACACCGTCCCACCACAATTACGAAGTGTCATGTTGATGGCTGCTGTACGAGAAAGATATGAAACAAGCAAAGTCCTGTCAAAATTTACAGTAATATGTGTTGAAAGCGATACTTGGAGCACATCCAGGTGGTATGTAGATACTGTAGGATGGAGATTGTGAGAAATTGCTCTTGAAAGACATCGGTATCACTAAAGACTCATTGAAATTTGGGTGCTCTTTTCTAAATCGGCTAAAATCTAATTCTCAATGATTCAAACAGCTCAATTTTAGTACCAATCGATGAGAAATCACAACAGTCAGCCTGCGCTTGAATTAAAACTAATTCTTTGATTACTGCTGTTCTAGAAAGTGGGTGTCTGTTTGAGACGTTAGCCGAGAAATGGAAAAGATTACCGATACGTGTTCAATAGAAACTCGGGATGGCCAAGGAAGTTACTGGGTGGCCCGTTCACTATTTGATACTCGCACGAGCGATTCCCGTGATCCTAAAAGACAGTTTTTCTGGGTTTTTGTTGAAAAGCAGAAAATGTCTGCAGTAAACGGGAGGTCATTGCTCCAGTACTCTTTATGATCATCGTTCAATGTTTTGTTAACACTACTTGCATATCGTGGAAAGCAATAAATAACTTAAGACCATAGCTTGGCTTTCTCTGTCAAATCTCCCCTGTTCTCCAGAGGAACTAAACGTTAAACCTGCTTACTCCGCGAAATTTTCTCAGTTGCAGGATTGCCTCGAATACTAAAACCAGCGAAAGCCACGTTCCGCGTGGCGACTCGGCGAATCGAAAGCCGAATTCACGCATGTGAAGCGACTTGGTGCCGGGCAAGAAGAAGAAATCCGTCTCATCTGAAAGGAAGGGGAAATCAATAGACATGAGCATTCGGTCCAATTCGATCACAACCGAAATTTCGTAGTTTTTTGTAACTTGTTCAAACTGGCCATAATTTATCAATCGATTATCTCATGTTTTGTCAGCAATCGGTCTTGAACTTTGTGGTGCTGGTCGGATTCAAACCGGTGTGAGTGTATCATTTCAAAATCACACACTAGCCAAAACACTAGCCAAAACGAAAACAAACACTCAAAAGCGTTTACAGAGAAGAATTTTTGTCCACCATTCTAAATCGCGCGGGTTACAGTAGTAGTGCCTTTTAGAATGGAGGACAAAACTTCTTCTCTGTAAACGCTGTTGAGTAAACAAACCGAGCGTTGTGTTGGGCAATCGAAATGAGTAGCCCCCATAGAAAGTGGTCGAAAAATCGGCATCCAAACCCAAATAGACGCGATTTTCTTTGATGAGGCGAGTCTGTAGCAGAAAATATTCACCTCGAGATGTGTACCTGGAAGAAACAGTCAAATAAAAAACAAAGATTTGTCACCGAATCTCCCAATCTTTGATTTCTGGACGTTCACCGTTGATTGTGTATGGGGATGAGTTGATGCAACGGTTCTAGAAAAAGAGAAAAACAAATAAGAGTGGCACTTT